CATATAAACTACGGAAAATTACAATAGAGCCTATATTTATGGGAAAGCCCCAACATTTCACGATAATTCATAAAGTAAAATCAACAATCCACTCCACGTACGAGTTAAAAATACGTAACAGTCTGCTAGCTCAAACAAAAGCAAGCAAAACAATACAAGCAGTGGTGTGGTGAGCGTGATGGCCAATCAGAATCGAATCAGAATCAGAATTTAGCTTAGTTTATTTGCTATCAAAGTATGATAAACCGATTGACGAACTTATAATGATAATGAGGCCTAGGCCTAGTAATAATAGTATTTACATTTTGCGTTTTCGAAACAACATTGGTGCTCCATATATTTGTTTAAAAAAATATACCGCGACCGAAATGAATAGGCCTACCCAAAAACAACGTTAAACATCTCTCTTAATTGACTAAGTGTTATTATTATATTATTAAGTTGACAGTAGGATGAACATTCGTTTCACTTACCTTTTCCTAAATCCTGTTCAATGATCTAACATTCAGCACAACTCTCTGAACCCACGTTGTGTCGTTGTTATTTGTTTTAAAAAGCATGCGGCGACCGCATTCACTCTTTGGGCATCGGCCTAAAACACTACGCCATTAAAGTGGAATGATACAAAATTCTAGGCCTATGCTTGGCCGGCCCTAGTTTGTTATAATATTATGGATTCGTAAAAAAAAATCTCTTCACTTCGGTATAATATTCTTGCAGTTTAATTATGGGTTCGACAACAATCATGAATATTAATATGTATGTGAATATTTATGATACGTTATGTTGTTAAAAAATAATTAAAAAAAAGTTAGTCCAATTGAGGGCGTAGTTTATTTAATATGGAAGGCCACATTCACATTTTTTAAACTCTCAAGTATTTATAGTTCTTCAGTTTTTTGTGAAACTTGTATGATTAAAAATACTCTGTAACAGTTACGTATTTATACTTTATCAAAATGCATTTCCATATTGGTAATTATTAGTGAACGTATCATTTGCTAATAAGTTTTGTAGAGACGAAAATGGCGTATCGTGGCCTTGTGACATCACTTCTCGAGGTAAACAATCGATGGTTACAAGCGGCTAAAATCTGGTTATAAAAGTTGCTTTTTTTCCTTAAATCCCACTTGTTGTTCGACGCAACATCAAGATATGATCTTTCCAATAATATAAAGGACCTATTGTATGAGTTTCGTTGAGGTAGGAGGTCCGTAATTGGGCCGAATTTCCGTAGTAACTACGGACGTTCAGTAGTACTTGAGAACCCTGCACTTTCGATTCCACTCAGTGCATATGACTTTGCGGTGAATTTCAATGACGTCATCTTTGTCTCAGCGTATCAACGTCCCAGTGTATCAGCGTCTCAGTGTATCAGTGTATCAGCGTTTATAAGACAACGATTATGATCAGGATAGTACTTGTGGTTGCTGTTAAGTAAGGTTTTTAAGGCCGAGAAAGCAGTTTTACTGGAGTAGTTGTTCAATGTACCCCGAAAGTATTCAGCTTTAGCTGCAGAAATACATGATCTTACTTTGCGTTTAGCAATAAGGAATAAACTCCAATTATCATCAGACTTATTCTTATTGAGCCTCCGCTCGAATCTTCGAGTACGATCACGCCTAGCCGCCTGGAAATCCTTGTTGTACCATTTAGGCCTGAGGTCGGCCTTGACAACACGTTTCTTAATTTGGATGACTCTATTAATACAAGTTGTAACAAATATCAAAATCAGCCATAATGTCATTAGATGACTTGCCTCTGATTAATACAGCAGCCAACTCAGGGGTAAGATCAGAACCAAGCTCACCATGGTCAATGTTACCATAAGGTCTATCCTCAACAGTCCTTGGAACACATTTAGGGCTTCCGAGAGCAATGTTAGCACAGACAACAGCATGGTTTGAATGGTGGTTACAATGTATACTATGATCGATAATACAGGTATCCACAGACCTGGTAATGAGTGGATCAAGTATGTGTCCATGTACATGTGTGTGTTTGGTCACAACCTGGACAAGATCAGCAGAGGAGACAGATGCAAGTACATGAGCAACATCAGGTTTAGAAGGAAGATCAAAGTGAACATTCAAATCCCCCATAATAAGAAGTTTCCCGGGCAGCAAATGGACAGTGTCAATAAACTCATCAAATTCTCTGAGAAACACAGAGGTAAGTAATCCATTCCTCGCAGATGGAGGAGGCCTGTAAATAACAATGAAGAAAATGACCTAGAAACGTTCGAAATGGCTGCACACTCAAATCAAATTATGTGTGTAATGTCAAGATCAACAGGTTGGAATTTAAGGGTATTTCTGAAAAGAATACCAATACCGCCATGATGAAAATGTGTGTGTGAATAGCGGGGAATATTAATTAAGGCGTAGCCAGAGGGAGTCTGCTCACCGATTTTAGTCATGTCATCCTTGGCAAGCCAAGTTTCAGTAAGAAACATAGGATCAATGGAATTTTCGATAATTTAGTCACATACATACCATGTTTTATTGCAAAGAGAGTGAGCATTCCAATGCCTGACAGTTAGTTTCTCAACATTTGGATGGTTGAGAATAGAGCTGGGCCGAAGATGATTGTTACCACGTGAACCATTATTAAAAATGTTATCACCTACCTGTTGCCGAGCAAACGACCTGTGTGAACGAGCACCAGCACGTTTGCCTGGCATCCGAAGTAGTCCATTAGCTTTTGAACTGAAAAACCAGGTATAACTTTACAAGCAAGTTTTCTCAGTGAAAAAAGCTGAGAGAAGTTGTATTGTAGAACCATGGTAAAACAATAGCAACAGGTACACAGCTATCAATAAAGCACACACACAATCAAAATAGAACAATGATCAATTTGCATTAAATAAAAGCAACAATACAACAATAGTAGAGAGCCAAAGTGCTTGGTAACTCACAGACTGATAATCAGGCTGGGCCTAGACAGTGGCGGACCGTAGGGTAAATTACAGGGTATGCTAGGTATTGGCTTATCTAGGAAGTGCAAGGGGCACGCACGTCGAGTCCCCTTGCCCGCCCTGAAAAAAAGTCGCCCATTCCCCAGTCGCGTCCCCCGCCCACAAGTCATGCTCAAGTAGTTAAAAATCACCTCATATCACCTTATATTGCGAGTTATCCCCTCACATAATCACCGACACCCCACTTTATCCTCCTGTCCCCATCAGCTCCCTTCCATTTAAAAAATCCCACGCCACTGATGATAGGGCCTGCTTGACAGGAAAAGTTCGTAAGCCTACTACTTTTACAGAATCAGATTGCGTTCTATAGTCAAAGTACAATGTATGTTATTTTTAATACCGGCATGTTTGTCTTTTCTTCAAAATAATTCTTATTCCTGTATTTTAACAAATTTCAATTCAAATAATATTAATTCAGAGTTTCTTCTACACCGATCATATGTATGTAAATATATTTAAACTTTAATAATTCAGATTAGGCTTATAGATAGAATCAGTGGCGTAGAAA